ACAAAACAACCATTTTATACAGAACAAGATTTAAAAAAACTACTTATGTAAAAAGTAATTTTGTTTGAATCACTTGATGATCATCGCTCGAAAAAGTAAAGTTGCCAAAATTTCAAATTTGTAATCTAATTTTCCTTGGAAACAGTTGTAAAACCTTGTAAAAGTTTGTCAGCTTACAGAATTTAGGGATTTCACAATGTCAATCCCTGCGTGAATTGTCTCAATATATCAAGAATTACAGGAAAGGTGAAAACCTAAATTCTGGCACCAGGTAAAGAATTGCGGAAACTTGGGTATTCTTCAGAAATTAAGGAGTTGGATTTGTACTTGGCTATTTCGCAGTGCAATTTATATTAATAAATTACATAAAATGTTTTCTTTTCGTCAATTTCCAACAATATGGAACGATTTAACGACGAGAAAATTTGTGTCGAGATTCGTTCTTAATTTTAAGTTGTGTATATCGACACGGCTCTTTTGCCTTCTAAAATATAAATTGATTTGGTTACACCGAAGTGTCAATCGCCTTGTCATAAGTCGACCGACACAACCTGATACCAGTAATCAGTGTCTACATCATATCAAGAATTTCACCGATAATTTAAACGCGTTCGAGATGAATTGGATTTTCGGTTACAAATCGTTCTCACTCGGTCACAATTTGGTTACCGCATTATTTAGTGAACTCATTGAATTACACACAAATTCAATGTTCACATTTGGTTGGTTAGGTAAGGAGGAGAAAGGGGAGTGTAATTAGTCCGCTTTCTCCTCGCAGAGCAAAACGACCAACTTTTCCTCATCATCATTATTTAGTGCACATTTCACTCAATTCACTTTACGACGCGAGACAGCCCGTTCCGCAAACAAGGAGGAAAACAGGACCGAGAACAAACCACGACGAAGAATAAAACCGAATTGGAATTGGTCCGATTACTGGTCAAGCTATAAATAAAATGGGATCGTTTCATTATTATTATTGTTTTCGGGTGGCCGAGAAAATTACCAGGGTTCGGAAAGTTTTTTTCTTTTTAAAATAGACATATACAATGAAATAGTTTTTTCGTGCCCCAAGATGTATTTTTAAAAACTTTGAATTTCGAAGTTAAATTTATTGGCATATTTTTCACAATTTTGTCAGCATTCTGAATCGAGGGACGTTGTCCGACATACAATTTTACCAGGAGAAGCAAGATGCCAAAATTGTACCACGCTTAAGTGCTTCATTTTCACATTTTTCTCTCTCCTTATCAAGAAAGAAAAAACCTTCCAGGAAATATTTTCATTTGAGATGAGGCTCTGAGCAATTAAACTACAAAATTTCAACTTTTTATATTTTTTTTACCCAAATTTAAAAAACGTTCAAATTTAATTTATGTAATCCCAATCCCTAACATAGATAAGTAGGTATGTTCTATACATGGAGACTTTATTTTTAATGACAAATAGACCTCACAGATTTTATGGATCGCTTTTATCACAACTTTTACACTTTTTAACTACGTTCCATGTTATGAGTGACACATGAGGTATGTGCTGACTTCCATGCTCTATATCAAATCAATCGCATTTTCTGGATTATGTTTTTTAAAAGAATTTCCTTGTTTAATTTTTAGTATGCAAACTGTTAAATCATGGCGTATGTACACATGATAGACTAAAAAACTCAATACCGTTTTGGATAATTATTGTAAAAATTCAGGAATTAATTGAAGTGAGTGTCAGAAAGATCAGACTTTGTGATTTTGCGTGGTCAATAAATAATTGTGTATCTGACTTTTCCTTGAGACAAGTTCTCTGAAACTACGAGTCAGAGTCTGAATCTGGTAGATTTAGTCGTCTTTCGAAACAAACATTTTTTTGTAAACTCTGACGTCGATTTCGGATAAATTAACAAGAAAAACTTTCTACTAGTAGAACGCTTTAGCTGGATATTCTCCCAAGCAATATTCCTAGTACAAATTAGTTGTAATGTTAACAATTTTTAAATCGATCAACATATTAATTCCTAACAATTTATGGCGTTAGATTAATTATTGCAAAAGAAGGAAAGTTACAATATTTAGTTTAAATCTAAAGATATCCAAAAATTCGTGGAATTTCGATTTGTACAATTTCAAATTACCCAAATAGACAGATTCACAATTGGCGGTCACCACCCGGTAATAAATCCCTAGACCAGATCCTTCCCGTACTCGAGCTTATTAAGCAAGCCGAGCATTGTAAATAATTTAGTCGTCAAACACCATGTTGTCACTTAAATAATGTCGAAAAAAACTGCAATATCTTTCCAAAACTGTTGTATTTTTAGGTACCCTGCCCCATGGTTGACTTCATGTCGCGATTTCTTTCAGCTGACCTGACCAGACCAACCCGAAAACTGGGCTATTTTGCTAACGGGGAAAGTTGTACGCGTTATTTACTTACTTGGTCATTCACTTCTTGTTACTTACCTGGCTCCTGCTTTCCTACTTATCAAACTCACGTTTTGTGCCGTGACGAGGCAAAACTTTGAGAAAGTCCCACTCGCCGTAAAACAACAATTATACAAACTAAACTGCTGACTAATCTGTAATTAATTGGGCTTTCTTATCCCTTTCGCCACTAAATGCACAATTCTAATCCGCACGAAACCGTTTCCTCGAACAGAAACCATTTCCTTCGATGCGACGCGATTATGTTGGACGTCGTGACTAACTTCTATTTACGACGTATTAAACCTTAATAATTCTGACAAAGTCGGCAGAATGAGATGAAATTTAATTTAACAAGTTTACTTAATTTGGGATAAGGGAAGTCTACTGGAAATTTGGGAATTTGTCGGCAGTATGAATAAAGTACGATGAAAATTTGGAAAGAAAAAAATTAAGGCATGGATTTTAAAATTTAGGGAAAATTGTAAATATTGTTTCGAAATTTATGTAAATTGGTGGCCTATTTGTTGCATTATTTCAACTTTTTAGTAAACATATATTAACTTCCTTAAACCTAAAATTAATACGTTGGTCCCATAAAATAATGTAAAAATTACCAAATGGGACTGACTCCTTACAATCTCAGGAATACCGACAAAGTTGGTAAACTAACATATATTGTTACCAAAGTGTAATATTAATTCGCCAATTTTATTACCACAATTTGATACGTTATTTTACATTTGTTGGAATTTGGTAACATTAAATGACGAAATTTAAATTGCTTTTCAATACCAAACAAAAAAATTAATAAACACCTAAATTTCAGTAAATCAGGTATAAAATCTCATGCAAATTACAAAATCAGACTAAATCCTTACAATTTCAGGAAAACTAAAATTTTGTTAGCAAAGTGTAACATTAATTCTTCACTTTTATCATCTAACTACACAATTCGGTAAATAGAAACGCACTGGTAAAACCTAACCTTATCATAAAAGTATTTAACCTCATTTTCCAATTAGAAAGTTACACCTCACGATACCAAGTCTGATAGCACAACAAAACAATACAAAAATACGCATCTTTCTTCACGCATAACTTTTTCCTTTATTCTTTCTTCCCTCCTTTCACTCGTCGTCATCATCTCTCCGAATTATCAGTTTCCTTTCATCTCGGTGTCAGATCTCCCGTAAAAGTTGCGTAGCCTTTCTATCCCGGAAATTAAAGTGAAAGTGAAAGTTGGACGAAGGTGAAGGTGACAAGATCGTGACTGGAAGTGTCCAAAAGAAGGCGGAAGGACACGCAGTGTCAATTCCATCATACCACATTATAGTCAATCACACGAGAAAATGGGCCATGCAGAACGGATGCCGCGTTACAATTAACGCGGATTTTTCTTAGGTAAGGCATAGTAACCATGACCACATGAAAAAGTACATGGTTACGGCGAAGCCTAAGAATGCAATCAGACCCCCCCCCTCCAAATATTCTGCCAAAGATTGCGGCAAAAACGGTTAATCGTATCAAAATGGTGTAAAAAGCAATCGTGCAGACCTTGATGGGTAGATGATGCCCGTCAGGTCTAGAAACACGAGAATCTTATTTTAACGCATTTAAAATCGATTTTAAACTTTCAAACGACTGGCAAATTCACTTTTTCCATGCAATGATAGTACGAGACCCTGATTTTCACTTGCAGAAATCTATAACGCGTCATTTAAAGCAAATCCGAGCGAAATCGGACAAGAAATGAAAAACTTTTCTTGGTGGTATCTGCAACCAGTTACGTCACTTATAGCAGTCCTCCATTACTTATCATGACTACTTACATAATACGAGGTTTCCATTAGTAACCAGCATAAGAGAAATAATTGAGACCTGTACTGGCGTATGGAAATATGTGCATCTACATATATTTTGTGTATATCTAATATTTATGCACACTCTTAACTGAAGTTAAGAATGCACACTCTTAAAACCCGGTGTTAATCGTAACCAAACGGTGTACATATGCAACTTAAGGTGCATTTATGCTTCACGTCATCGTTACGTCCTCCTCCAAATCCGATTTTTTGATTGGTTAAAATTTTTAATTGTAGTGATAATTTGGTTCAGCCAATCAAAAAATCGGATTTGAAGGAGGACGTGACGATGACGTGAAGCATAAACACCAGTTTAACCAAAAGGTGATATGTTTTTCACTCCTTGGTGATAAATCTTCCCCGCATGGGGACAAATTGTCACTAGCCAGTGTTAATTTTACCACCATTAGGTGAGACACATTATTACCGCACGGTGAAGTCACATACACTCTTAGCAACTTGGTAAAGAATTCTTAATAACCGTCTTTACCGAGCTCTTGGTAATAACGCGTCCTACAAAAATTATACGGGGTTATTACCGTATCAATACCAAACGGGTAACTAGCCTTCCACCGCAATGTTTTAAGTTATCTTTATAATTTTGGTAATAAATTCCTACGAGCCGGTAATTATATCCTACAAATTTAGATAACACTCTTTATCATAATTTTCATTAAGTGTAGTAAAAATTTTTCCCGTTGTGGTGCTGATGAGATCTACATTTTGGTGTAGTTTATTACCATAGAGTCAGGCATTTTAATACATTTGGTATGAATTGTGAGACGCTACTCAGTGGCGCATTTTTCACTTTTAGTTTTCGCTCAGCTCAACTCGAGTCAACATGGCGAAATTAATTCGCGTGTCCAATTCTGCCCGTGGAAAAAAACTGATAAAAACATCTGGAAATTATAAGGAACTTTTGGAAACAGGTAAGTATAAAATTATCATATGTATACACCATCTTAATAGGTAGTAAAGTAAGCAAGAAAATAATCTCTAGTAAATAACAATATCATGTTTTTATTTTTTCAGTGAGCCAAAAATTTGAGTTGGAAATTGGAACAGAGATTTTTCTGCAAGACGACCAGGGGGCGGAGATCGACGACGAAGCTTTCCCTATCCTTGCTGAAAGCCTTATCACCCCAAATATTGAATTCTTTGTGAAGGGCGAAACACAAACCGAAGTAGAATTGGATCCGGCCTCTCCAGTTTCATCAATAATTTACGGTGAGCAATTTATCAAATTTAAATTATTTCTAGTCTGCAGCTTAAACAATTTATCGTATCTTTTTAGTTGCACGTCCTGATGAGTCGCCGATGTCCAGTAATGGTTTCCGAAGAACACAAATTTTCAATGAAGTTGATATTTTCACACAGGTTACAATCAGTTAATGATATTTATAGCTGTCTGAAAATAATTATCTAAAATTTTAATTTTTGAAGATTGTGAACGCTGCAGTGACTGAGAGCGCCGAGATTTCCCGTTTAGTTGCAGAGTGCAATGAGAAAAACTGCGTCGATAAAACGTCGTCGACAACTTTAATTAATGAATTTGTTGCAAAGCTAATAGAGGTGAAAGGGTGAGTCGCTAAAGCTTTCTTAATATTTAATAATAGATTTAAGTTGACAAATTTAATTTCAGGCTTTCTCCTACAACCTCTGACCAGAAACACTTAGCAGCTGCAATAATTAAGCTACTGCCTTCATTGAGATATTCCAAGTCAGTAGAGGGTCTGGTGAGTGAAGATTTCGTGAATTATTTAAATGTGCTCTTGTATCGAGAATTTTTAGAAATTCTCAATACAAGAGCATTTTTAATCTGCAGGACATTTTGTTTGATGACGTCAACCGATGTGGACTCATCCAAAATCGACTGAAGACGATTCATCGGAATTTGAAGGGGGAACAGAAGAGTGTCAGTAAAAAGCGGGAGTCGACTACTTCAAATTCCGGCCCTAAAAAGAAATTCTCAAGACCAGTTCCCGAGAATTTCGAATTTAATCAGGAACTAGTCGACGAGCTCAACTCTACTTGCACAAAGGACGGAGTTGTGAAAATAAAGCAGCTGATGACGGATACGCTAGGTCATCGTAATATTTTAAGAAGCGCTGGGGATAAGTCCATCTAAAAAATTTACAGAAAATTTTCCGAATGTAACTTCATGGTATTTACATATTTTTGGAAATTTCCAAAACAATTTGAGTTGACTATTGTCTAATTTAGCACTTAAATAATTTCGCAGATTAACTATGAGTTTTCTCTGCTACATTCTGATGCAGAGAATCTATTTATCGAAAACTGGCCTGGATTAGCAGAAGGAATTGTCAAGAAAGCCAAGGAGATCAGCAAGTCACCAGCGCTTTTAAAGTTTTTGTCGGAAGAACACGGTATTTTTTAAATATGTATTTAATGTTGGATTAGGTGACTCTTCGCCTGTGACGTCATGTGTGGAAAAATCTGCACATTTTTACTCATTTCTCTGTTCTGAGATTTTATATAAAAATTCTATCAAGTGATTTCGTAGTCAGCAAGCTGATTAATAGAATGGCGATAAGATTTTTAAAGATGATAAGCCAAATCTGTTGAAACCTAATTTTTCTCCTCCTTCAGAACGTATTAAAACCTAGAGTGCATATTTTTAATAAATTGGTGCTGACTTGCTCTACAAAATGACCTGATATAATTTTTAAATAAAATCCGGGAACAAAGAAATGAGTCAAGATTTTTACACCAGTGACGTCACATGCGATGTATTACCTAATCCAACGTTAAACAGCTACTAAAACTACAAGAGAACACTACCAGTACTGGGACAATTAATTTACGACATCTCTTTTCAGGTAATTGGGACAAGAGCATTTTTAGCTTTCTGACTTTGTCGTACTCGATCCCGCCCACCGCACAAGGAAAAGGGAACGGAAACCGTTGCAAAACCAGTGACGCTAAGGGTCGAATTTTATCTTTCTATAAAGTATGCTAAGTAACTAAGGAATTATTCATTAATTAATTCCATGTCATAGTCAAAATGTTTCTTCTGGTCAGACTGGAACACCTCTTCAGTCAATTCTTGACACGTGGAATAAGGAGACAACTCAGCCGAACTTACTTTGCATTGGAGACGATTCAGCAAATCTGACCAACTTTTTCATCGTCTGCGATGGCGTAATTCTTCCGCTGGACTCGAAAAATTCGACAGAAGCCATTGACTCCCTTTTCAAAGCCCATTATGTTTTTGGCACAGATTATGACGTCAACCTGAAGGGTTTGTGGAAATTCGTCCAAGTATACATTTACAAGTTAGAGGTGGATTCGCAGCTCCCAAGAAGAGTCAAGGAGGTCTTCAGCCAATTGCAGCAGTTATTTTAGTGTGAACTTTTGGAAATGTTTGTCTGTGTTGATTGTGACAAGGTAGTGTTAGGCAATAAGGAATTTCAGGCACATGTTAAATATGTACATAACTATGCGGAATTTAGTTTTAGGAAAATTGTATGTCCTCACGCTAATTGCTTTATAGAAATTTTTACCTGGAGTGGGTTTTTGAGGCATATTAAGATGCACAAAGATGTCAATCCACCGATAGAGATTGATATCCCAGTAGAATCAAATGTTAGTAGTCAATTAGGTTTGTTCGGTGAAGATGAAAATGAGGATGTAGCCGGAGGTATCGAAAATATTTCCGTAGAGACAGGAATCGAATTTATGATAGAACAACTTAGTGAATTTTGCTCTTCGTTACTTGCAACTGGCCTTACTAATTCCAGTATAGACTTAATTGTTAAACAATTGTCACACACCTTTTCTCAGAGTTTTGATTTAATTTTAAAAATTGTGAAGCCATTTTGTGAACAGGAGTATGACACACTAAATTTGAAAATAAGGTCATTGTTGCAAGCTTTCCGGAAGGTAAAATCTGTCTATCAAATATTTAGCTTAATTTAAATTTTATGTAAATCTGTATACATGTGTATGTATGTAACACAATAGTTTGCATTATACTTTAATTTTATAATTTAAGTATTTTATAATTTGAGTTTTTTAATTTAATAATTTAATAATATAATTATGCAAGCATGTTTCAAAATGATTTTGCAATAAATATAATTGATTGAAAGATTATTGTAAAGAGAAACAAAAAAATCTATTCTTTTCGGTGGAAATCTGTACAACATTTGGTAATAATGGGGTATACGTAATACAAAGCATTAATACCGGGGTGAACAGCACACCGTGCACAAAGTGGTATGGTTTATTACCAGGCGGTAGATATTTTACTACATATTGTAGTACATCTGTCATACATCATGGTATTAATTTTATCCCAAAAAGTGTTCTTTATTACCACTTCGGGTTCAATAAATTTCTTTACCAGCCGGTGGTTATTATTACCGTTTCTGCAGAGTCGTATACGTGTGCATTTTGGTAATGATTTGGTAATGATTTTATTTAGAGTGTACGCATACCGTTTGGTGACGATTAACACCGGGTTTTTAAGAGTGTAATAGAATATGTAATAGCTCCATAGTAAAGTTTTGCCATATCGGTAGCAAATTTCTACTGACCGGTATAATTTTGATACCACGCAGGTACTTTAATACTTAGAAAACAATACCTGCCTGAATATACCAGATTTCTACAATACACTTACATATTACACACTTACATAATTTATCTGATATGTAACGCATCCGCACCCACATGTTATAATTAATTTGGTATGCAATGCATCTATACCCTAGGGGGATGGTGAAGTGAATTTGGGAGGGACTCTTATTTTTAGGCTTACATAAAAACAAAAAATAAATAAATTCTTGAAAAAAAGCTTAGGTGAGGCTTGCTTGAAAGAAGAAAACAAGCTGTTATCATCGTGTACTAAAATAATATGCGAAGTCAATGATCATCTCACGATTTATAATTTTTGGCAAATATAACAGCAAATTATATGCGTTTGGGACAATTTGCCTCGCCGTGGGCCGGTTTGTGATACAAAGAATTAAAATATAGTTTAAAATTTATTAGTGTCCAGTGTCGATAAATAATTCATACAGAATGATGCGGGATTTAGTTAATTTCGTTATTAATAATCGTTTGCTGATAAAATTTACGAAGCGTGGGTTATTTATAGTATAAAATATCATAGTTCAGAACACTTAATTTTTCAAATATAGGCTGATTTTTGAAACATATTCCTGCAAGTCATCAAAGATAACAATCAGATAGTAACGAAGTTGAAGTTTATTGGAATACGTATCATAGCTAAATATAGTTCATATTTAGCTATGATCATCAAGAAGATATATTTATATCAAACATTTAATCACGGCCCACGGCGAGGCAAATTGTCCCAAACGCATATAATTTGCTGTTATATTTGCCAAAAATTATAAATCGTGAGATGAACATTGACTTCGCATATTATACGTTCTAATACGTTTGGAAATACGGGAACATGTTAATCAAACATATACTAATTTTTTTACACTATTCTTTACTTTTTGGCCAACTTCGAGCAAGACTTTCGCCTCAGTTCTCCAATCCTACTTCAGAAACTTCACTTGTTTTAATACACGATGATAACAGCTTGTTTTCCTCTTTTAAGCAAGCCTCACCTAAGCTTTTTTTCAAGAATTTATTTATTTCTAAACTGTCAATAAATGTATTATTTTTACGAGATTTTTACGAGATTAAGAAAAAGTCAAGTCAATTGAGATCATATTTACATATAATTTTGCACAACCCTCCGAATGAATTTTCTTCAACGAGATTTCCAACATTACAAAATTTTGATGTCCAGTTGTACATTTCACAACAAATAAGTGTACATAAACTACACAAGTTCCCAACTTCCCAACCAATCTACTCTCGCGTAGGGTTTCTAAATTTATTTGGTACTGTGGTTCTTTGAATTTTTATAATTTTTTCGAATTTTCGATTTTTTCCGAGGAAATATCGGAAATAATTCAGTAATATGTTAACCGTTTTACTTCTTATGGGAAATCCCATGGAATTTTTTCAACGAAAAATGTACAATTTTGCTGCCGGGTTATCAAAATAGATTACATCCATTACGATGGTATATGTTTTACAATTTTTAAGAAAAATCTTAGGGAACTTGTTGTATTTCATATTCGATTTGAATAAAAATATGGTTTTTTCCTGTCTCAAATTTACGTGCGACGACTTGTGAATTCTAGCTTTGAGTTCTCTATACAAAGCATTTCACTGAACCCTTTAATCCTTAATGACTTCAAAGTTGAAAATGTTTACCTTAAAGTTCAAATTGCTCAGATTATTTCAAAATAATTTATTTTGAAAAATCGAATACATTGGATAATTCAAAAAATTATAAAAATTCGAAGAATCATAGCACCCAAATAAATTTAATAACACAACACCGTGCCAATTGTTTGGAACCTTACGTAATTTATTTGCACTTATTTATTGTAAAATGTACAACTCGGCGTCAAAATTTGGCAATAGTGCAAATCTCGTTGAAGAAATATAAAATGGATTACAAAACCGGCCATTTTATACCTGAAAGTTAAATGTGACACGGACCTCAAAAAATGACGTGGACAACGTTGAGCTAATTATTTTACAATAAAAATTATTCTCGTCCAAACCCTGCCACCAATTTATAGCAAACATTACATATAAATCCTCTATTTGTCTTTCTCTATAAAAACATTTATAACAGGTGAATGAATTGTCTTTATCTTCTCTTTTCTTTATATCTCTGATTTATTTTTTTTAGATTTAGAAAATCTAATTTCCATATAAAAAATTCCTGTCACTAATAAAACCCGTCCATCCTACCAATCTACTAATTTATTAGTGCACTGAAACCTTCAAAAAATCGCTTAAACGAGACCAAACTCTTATAAATTAATTCTCTAATTTACTTTCTCAATACTAAACATTTGCATGTGTTCAATGGTTTGCCCTCATGCACTCCTTTCTTCAAATCTTCCATTTAATTTTTTAAAAACATTTCGACATTGTTATTTCGACCAAAAATTGCTGCAAATAAAAAAAATACTAAAAAAAACTGCAGATAACTGCTACCAATCATATAATTTATTACGCACTAAAACTTACAAAAATCACCCTAAAGGAGACCAAACTCCACCAAGAAATTATCATTTTTACACAATCTTTAGCAATTATTTCAAATTTATGAAATAAAATTTCTCACAAAATTTCTAAATTGAAGTGTAGAAATTGTTTTGTTCCTAACCCTGCTTCAAACTTTCAGTGAGTAACAAATAAAGTCTCTCACTGACTTTCTCCATCTAAAATATATGACTGGATTGCCCTCATCTCTTCTCTCTATTTGTGTTCTCTTGTGAATCTTTCTCCTTTCAGCAACCCCCCGCATTTTGGCTTTCTTTCCACTCACCCAAAATTGA